ATTTTTTCTAAGGAATGCCATCACTTAATTTATCGGAATATTACGTGAGGTATGTAACTCACGCAATAAAGGTCTCCGATCCAAATTATAACTCAATAAATTTCCTCCAATCAATAGTATCCTATTAATGACCGTGCGAAATTGGACATTCAAAATGATGGGCTTTATTTTACGAGACATCGTTTGAAATAATACCGACCCGACTAAGAAAATTCTTAAATGAAGAAATTAAAATTGTTGAAAATCTTATAGGAATGCCGAAACATTTCACCCTCGATAAACCTCCGATTTTTGAATTCCCATATCATATTTAAATACTAATAAAAGTTAGCCGCAGCAGTGATTCCAAGTCACTTAAAATGGAAATCAGAATAGTCATTATTATGACTACGGAAAGCAAGATTTTCAGAATCGACTAGTTTAATAAGAGTTAAATTTGTGGATATTTTCATTTTTTATGGGTACACATAAAAATATCTAGCTAACTTTTGCGGCAAAGGGACCAAGAAAAAAATATTAAGAGGGATTACTGAGCAATTTTGATGATCAGGAGGTGAGAGAGCCGAATTAAAGAACAAGGAAGAGGATTAAAATGCTTGTTGTTTTAATGGAGCCGTGTTTCGTCAATGTATTTTAACGTCTGTTCATACCACGAGGTAAGTGACTTGAACGAAATGTTAGAACGGAAGAATTACATAAAATTTGGATTGGGCTAAGCTTTTGCCATCAATTTTTAATGATTGTAGCTCGAGAATAAGTTATTGATTAAGTTATCGAAGAAAATCATTCACTGAATCTAAAGAATTTATACATACGTACATAAAGTTACGTTCGTGGGGCCTGAAGATAATAGAAAACCTTTGAAAATAAGATCAATTTACTTTACAGAATGAAACTAATTCTTTCAAAAAAAGCAGAGCAGACTTAAAAGACAACTAGAATTAATGAACTGAAAGGTACTAGTTGGTGGTTCAAGATCATTGGATCATCAGATAAAATTGCGCGGTATGTGTGGGAGTCTCAACATTTCTAACGCTGCGTTTAAGTCTCCATGCCATTCCATGCCAGCGCCTGATTTTTCAGGAAGTGATTTTAAATTTAAAAGTTTTTTACCAGGCAGGTTTCATGCGCCATTTATACCCGATACTCTTATGATTAAGAGTCCAAAGTCCGATCCGAAAGTCCTCTTAATTCTAAACTATCCGTTCATAATTTCACTAAAGCGTTGAGATCCTTGCCTCACTCTTCAAATTGCTACCCACGGATGTACGCATTGTTCCATTGCGAGAACGTCAACAATATATTTTTATTCTTAGCGTCACACCCTCGAGTGTTGCTCTTCGGGTTCGACAGATTAGACCGCCTTAAAAAACTTACAGGAAGGAAGACTGACCAGCCTGCCACGCGACCGGATTATTGACATGCAGTTGAGCTGACCCACGTTTTGTTGTTTTGTCTGCGAGGCCTTGAAGGTCGTTTGCCCGGTTAAGGCTCGCTCGATTAGCAACAATGCAACAATCTAATTGCCTTGGGTGGCTAATAATTAGCGCCGTCGTTATTTCTTACGGTATTAATGGAGACGCTGCGCTATTCCTGAGATTTTTCATGCACGATGCAGAGATGAGTTAACTCAGCTGCAATCAGAGACAGACTATTTTGGAGACTGAGCACGCCCTGGCTACCATCCATGTAAAAGGTTATTTCTGCAGATCGGCACCAATTTTGGTCCAATGATAGTTGATGAGGGTTCAGTAATGTATTCGGCTGAAGAAGGGTTTGATGAAGCGACACATGGCAACTATTCAATTTAATTTCCGACGAATGATCCACGAGACTAATTGTAAATTACTGTTTTCTTGTCTGAAAACACGCTGGTTAAAAACACACAAGTACTAAAGTAATAAATCAAACGAAACCGAAGTTATGACAGTTGGAATTATGCCGTCCGAAAAATAATTACATATAGAAAAAAAAATACTTAAAATGTTAATCCGTCATGTTTTAGGCTAAGACTTACAAAAATACAGGGAAAATCAACGCTTTCAGTTAATACAAAAATTAAGAACACGTGAGTAGATGTAATAGGCTCCATCGAAAAAAGCCTATCTTTTCAGCAAATAAATTTGGCAGTTCCAGCAAAATCTACACAATAAGAAAAAGTAACCAAGAAGTAACCAAAAAGTAACCGCTTGTAGCTCATCTTCGAAATGTTGGTGGGTGTTTTTGATTGAAAACTCGAATACGCATTTTGCGATCAAAGCAGGATATTGCTTTCTTTGATGTTTCGACAGAAATTCTTGAGAAAAAAATACCGAGACCCTAAAAAAATTGACTTTCAAAACCTGATTGACTGACTTATAAAAGCGTCGAGTAATGCGTATCGAATGTGACGCATGGATTCAATCTCTTCTCGCTATAATGCATTGTTTCCGCTGGAAGGGGCAACCACAACAAGCTGTCGACTGACGAGCCAATAATTAAGTAGGAATGAAAATACGGTAATCACAACGAAGAGGGAGTGGGAGGCAACAATTAACCGAAGAATAATGGAAAATTGGATGTGACCTGTCCAAGAGGTGCCTCTCACGCAAGGCTGACCTTACTCACTAATGCGTACAATTCAATTTTGACCCAGGAAAGCTTCTTTCATTCCGTATAAAAAGCTCGGAAAAACAAAGTTTGCCGATAAATTGCTGATTTCCATTGCAGTGCCAATAATCGTCCGTGACTTTGCAGAAGGTGACATCGTCCCGGAAAACTCCTGATTGCTCTCATGACGTTTGAGGATGTAATTTACAATCAATCTGTTTTTTGCAGACTCATTTCGCATTTTTTCTTTTCGTCTACCCTCTTTGTTTTACCCCCCGAGCCAGCGTAAGCCTGATTGCATCATATGTGTATCGGAAGACTTTGAGAAAATACGGAAGAAATAGGACATAGAATATCAATTGCGAGAGTGGCTGCTTTAAGGAAATAAAGTTTGAGCAGAGACTAAAGTAATGCTGAACTTTCTGGAGTAAAAAAATTATTCTAATTGAATACTCAATAAAAATGCGGTACATCGAAGAAAATTGATTTTCATCAGCATATATTTTTATTTGCGTTTCTTTAGTATCGTGTGGGTTCTGGGTTTATCCCCGTCCAAAAACGATCGATTCTGATGAGTCTACTCCGAAAACAGTCAGTTGGGGGGTCTGAGGTGATTTCAAAATTTTTTAAGTGCCATCGTTGTTTTCACTAAATCTACCACTGTTATCAATTTGCAAATCCCTGTACCTTGCAACAGGCCCATAGAAAATTTGCCATTTTAAGGAATTTTACTTTTTTTATGCCACATTGTACACACAAAACAGTTGAAGTTTCTTCATGTGGTAGCAACTTTTCAAATGTGATACTCTGATATACCTTTACTCTATTTTAAATTTTATACTTTAAAAAAAAGCTGCGATTATTGATTCTTGGCAGCTTAAGACACTCAAATATGATTATTTATCAAAATGCCACTTTTTCATTCAAATTACAAGCATAACACTGTGCCTGATCAATAACAGTATAGTGGGCACCTACTTTTGTTACACTGCGTCGAAGTCTCCGAGAAATATACCACCAAATGTTGGGTAAAGGGCTGAGGGCGCCTGTGGCCACCCACACAAAACTTGGTGAAATATTTCTCGGAGACTTTAACGCAGTGCGACAAAAATAGGAGCTCACTAAAGTTGTTGATCAAACTTAGTGTTACACATACCACACACAATTTTCTAGCTACACTCACACAGCCATCCTACTTGTTGAATTATACAGCTTTGATTCAATTGTTCCACCCAGCATTTTCATCAAAAATTATCAACAACTTTTTCTCTCGGAAACCACTCAACCTTAGAAGCTACAGTTTTGTTGCCTCCATGTTGACCAACGTGTTGAAGAATTCGTATAGCAATCTGGCCGATGGTTGGTACACTTGTTGTATGATGAGCATACTTTTTAACCCGAGGCCCATCATCTATCAGTACGGCAAGATGACTGCCGCAGACGGAAAGGAAATGTCGAATCACCAGAGGCCAACACTCACAGAAATCTAAACGTCAAATAAACACAAGCTCTGTGTTCGCAAGATATTTGAATTCTAATAAGATTAATACATAATTTTTGGCAGGGCGATATACACCGAATTGGAATTGTGTTAAAAAACAAAGGATTTATAGTGGGGAAATGACCCGATTAGTGTAGGCTCTGTCTTAGTTCTCGTCTCTCTATCGGTGCTCTATGTTACTCTGAGTTTCTGTGTGTTAGGTGCTCTGCCTTGATTTTGTGAGCAACACATAGTTCAGAGATTTCAATATCGACTCAGTGTTGCAAACTTACGTATTTCTGTTATTCTGATAGAAAATGTTTACTGGGGTAACTTTCCAGTATTGCCGGAATATTAGTGAAGGGTTCATATTATCATATTGGACGTATTTATGCTGAAAGGAACTATGTGCATAGGGTTTGCGTGGAAGATAGTTCCTTTTGGCAGCAATACGTTCATATTTCCACGAGGGGCCCACGTGGACGGGGCAAGCAGCGCATCCATCGGCTGAGCACGAGATGAACGAGAGAAAAAAGCGCAAGAAACACAATTCCCAAGGTCGGCAGCGCGGAAACGGCAAGTGGTGAGGACTCTGAAAAAGAAGAAGTAAAGCGTTCCTGCCGTGGCGGGAGCTAACAGAGTTCCTGCGGACACGCGAGTACTCAGGAAACCGGTCGGGTCAAGCGGGGGCGAGAACCGCGGGCCCGCGAACCCGCGCCGGTTCCCGCCAAATCAGGTGCGCGCGGAGGGAGGAGGGGCACCTGTGGCGCGCGCCGCCGCTAAATCACCGACCGGTACAATTAGATAACTCGATTCCTTGACAATGACCGCTAAATCCTTCCTTCCTTGGCCCCCCTCCCCTGGCGCTCGTGTTCCGTCTTACCCCCTCCCCGAGTGGCGTCTCCGGTATAAAGAGCCATTGCATCACCGCTTTACACATTATTTTCCACTTTTCACTTTTAATAATGCAGTCAGCCTGCTGATAAGCGACTCGCGACACCGACCCGCCGTTTTTTCCACTCAGTTTCGTTCGGACTCGCGATCTTCGCGCTTTGCAGGTTATGTTCACGCGTCTTGTGCTCGCTTGAAGTCTCGTGCTCGTACCCAGTGCTGTGAGCTCTGTGCGTGTGTGTCTGTGTCAACCGTCTTTGGTGCAAGTGTAAATTTTTTGTATATAAGCTACCACGCTTAAACAACACAGCAACATGAATCCCGCAAGAATTTTATTTGTGAGTATTTTTTTACGGTCATTTCCTCTCCCGCCCTGAAGACACTGAATTTTTCGCACTTTCAAAATGACCGATTCGTCATGGTTCGATGAGTACAATGAGGAAAAAATAAGCGGGAAAATTTACTAAATTAGTGTTTTTTCCATATGAAAACATGATGAGTGGTAGTCTTACGTATTGACAGTGGTATCTTCATCACTACGATGTACTATTATTGCTAAACTGTGAAAAAACCACTATTATTGGTTATCACTACTACCAATTAAGAGTTCATAATAAACGCCATTGATATACCAATTTTACCCATTGTTTTCTCTCGAGCGCATAGAAAGTAAACGAGGCTGAGGTTTTTTGTGGTATTCAACTTAATTAGGAATGCTTGAATTCGATTTTGCATTACAATTGCGTTGAAATCAAATTATTATTATTGAGTCTTAAATAGAGGCGCAGCTCAAACAAAGTGCAGCCGAATTATCAACTCGTGTCATATCAATACTTAACGTTACAATTTATTTACAATTGTTTTGAACATGTAAGCTTTTAAAAAAATGGCGAAATGATACATGTTGCAACTTTTAAAATAGTTGAAAAAGCAACTTTTTAATGAATTGATATTCGCCAGGGAAAGGATTCGCTGGGGTTGATGATAGTTGGGACGTATGGTGTGTTAGTCGGAGGAATACCAGCCGCAAGAAAAGTATTTTTCTCACACTTTAGTGACTGCTTTTACAAAAATACATGCGGTATCGTATTTTTGGTGGCAATATTTTATTTTAGTCGTATTGAGAGGTGCATATGGAAATTAATACGAACAGGTTTCAAGCGCACTTCTCAAATGTGACAGGGGATCGATCGTCTTTATTTTGGAAATGGAGATAAATACAAGAATCAGGATGGTTTGATGGTAAACTGTCAGTCTCACTTTAATATGCAAGAATTCATTTGGTGCTTGGACTCTAGCTTCAGTATTTTGGAAAGCTGTTTTCAAATATTTATGGACATAAAATAACTTTCAATTTCGCTACACCAGTGGGGCTCATATTTAGAGGTTAAGTGATCATAAAATTTGCATCGCTTTTTCACATATTGTAATTTACTGCGATGGACCATCAATTAGGGCTGCTAATAAGATCGAACTACTTTTTTTTTTTTTTTTTTTTTTTTTTTTTAACTGAGTCACTTCGTATTCCATTTACTTCCATTGCTTGCTAGTGGTCAGATTCTAACATGCAAAGGATTCAAATGATATATCAGCCCCAACCATCCATAATCTTTTCCGAGTTGCTCTATTGCTCGTTCAACACAAGTGATCATTATAATCAAGTGCTGTGCAAATGCCACATTATTTGTTTGTCTCAATCTGTTAGAAAAAGAAAAATAAAACCAAATCATTTTAGCATGAAAAAAATTAACAACTTCTGTGTCATTAGCTAATACTTAAAGTTGTGTCTCTCCAAGCATAAGAAATTAGGCGGCAAACTTAATGGACACAACTATATTTATGTTTAAAAGGAATTCCATATACCCTCCCGAAGTGATGTCCCAATAGTTCGCTGTCACCATAGCCCTTTGTCTCATAAGCCCTTGTGTCATCCACGTGCTTTTGGGGGGCTAACAGGTCCTGGATTGGAATTTGGATAAGTCACAAAGACGAACGACCAATGACATAATGCGATTAAAACTTGATAAATCACCCGTTATACGGATCAGTTGTCCTCTTAGGTATTTTAATGTGTGAACTTGTCAAGCTTCGATACGTTGCCAGATGTGGACGCTTATGAAGTAACTATATTAAGTAATACATTGAATTAATATTTAATCACTTTTATTTAGGTATTTGATAATAATAATTACTGGATCTACTCATTCAAGCAAATAAAAAACTGGGTGGAAAAATAACGTAAGTCATTGATTGGAATTTTTGCGGTAAATCAATGGCATCTGATAAACAACGTACCCTCAAACTTTCAAGAAATGTGATTACCTAAGTCAAGGAAGAGAGGTTTTAAGCCAAAATGATTTATCAAATATTGAACCTAAAACATAGTTTTCTGCTGCTAAAAAAAAAAAAAAAAAAAAAAAAAAAAAAAAAAAAAATTCTTGCAAAACGGTTGAAGAAATTTTTATATTTCACGTTCCCTCTTCCGGGGATAAGACGGGATAAGATAAAAGTAAAAATTACAAGCATCAAGTATGATCACGCTTTTGACTCCATCACATTTAGTCTACTTTTTCCTGAAACCGCAGCGAATTGAGGGATGTTTCCATAAAAAATTGAATTGATGATTAAAATTTCGAGAAAAAGTTACGATCCTGTAATTTTTTTTTATTTGCTTTTTTTCCTTTAACATCAATACATCCATTGTCAAATGACACTCATTTAACATTAAAATTGGAGCTCAATTTTGGTTCAATTTGGCAACGTGATCGAAGTCAATCAGGGCACACGCTAAGTCCGATATAATCTGGCGACCGAAGATGTCTTCACTATCCTTGAATTTGTGCAGCGAAATGGCCGCACGAAATTCGAGGCAAGCGGTCTCTTTTTCCAGGCGAAAAACTATGTAAGCTCGTCGATTTTTTTCCCTTTGTTCCTCCATTGCGAAATGGCGTTCGCATAGTTTTGCTCGTCGCCGACGAAATTTATTCATACAAATTTGGAGTAACGCATCTTCCGGGTTATTACGCCGCTGGACCGCTTTCTCGTGCGTCTTCGTCCGTAAAAGGATGTTATAGTGGTTGGTGAATTCATATAAATTATGAGCAGAAGCGTCTCCGTCGTGGTGACACAATTAATATCAGTGTTGAAAAAAAGATTAGGTAATAGTCTGCAGCTCAAGTTTAGTGAGGGATCAAGAGGTTTTGGTCAGTGGGGCATCTTTGATGCGCTTTGGCGATCTCGTTTCACCGTAAGGAATTTCAGCTCATTTCGAAAAGACGGTGCATTCATGCATGGAGAAGATTGTACCTTTATTTTTGTGCGTTGAGGGCAATTCGTCCCTATGTCCAGTTTTGTGGCTCAGCCTCCGTATGGATCGCACCGAAATGGCTAAAAAACTAAGAAGACTTAGAGTTGTGGAGGCCTACCCTAATGGCAAGAAACTCTGAAGAGAATTTGTCAAAGAATCAAAAAAAGGGTTTAAATAATTATTCATGGAAACCCTTTTGGTTATTTTTGTAAATTACGTAAACAAGTACTTTAATAATGACAAAAATTACCTTTTTTTACAGAAAAATATTTCTAACACTTTTTTCATAGCTTTGAAGCATGAAACAACGCGTGAGATATTTTAAGAATTTTCAACTCATTTTCATTTAAATGTTTCCTCTCGTAACTTTTAACTAAAAATATACCCAAAAAATATTCTCTTAATCATAGATGTTAACAATTTCTCGAAGTTTTTTTCTTTCACGAGCGTTTTAAAAAATTTTCAATAGTCTTTACTATCTCCACACGAGTCCAAAGATTCACGTGGGACGAGACAAATCAGATAATTAAAAGAAAGAAAATCAGAATTCGTTAACCGAATCGCACAGTACTTGATACCAGAATGATCGCTACATTCTCCGATAGTTAAAATTCTCTTTACGAAAGCTATAATATAAACGTCGAGGATCTACGGTTAGAGAAAGATAGGGATAATTAAGAGCATAAACATTTTTACCGTTAAAAAAATATCTACGAAATTTTAATTTACTCCATTTCTATTCTTTAAGATGCTTCGTAGCAATATTAATCGGCTGCCATGATTTTTTTGAGTTATGAGTCTCCCATTCCCCGGCTGATCTTCGAAACGCTGTGTTCAGGTTTATGAACTTCGTTCAAGAAGTTGTTCATGATAGAGTCCCTTTATACTGAGAGTCAAGACAATTTGAATCCATTTCTGATTGGTTCCCGTATTTTAGGCCTCCACAGTGTCACAAACGGGAATAAAGATTACATTTTCACCAATTGCAAAGATTATAATCTGGAATGGACCAGGGAATTACGGGTTCGGCAAGGAACAAACGGAATGAGAGGAGGAACGGAGAAAGGCATTTGAGAATGGGCCGATCAAAGATTACGAAAAACGTTCAATTTCTGTAATCTTTATTCCCGTTTGTGACATCCATGAGCCGAATTGTCTTGACTCTCAGTATAAAGGGACTCTAGTTCATGAGAATCGTTTTAAACTGTTTGGCATCGATATTCCAGATTTCGATATTTCGTTGCCTACCTGACATAAGGGCGTAACTACATACTCAGCAATGAACCCTGTCCTCTACACAATTCAATGTTTTTCCGTGTTCATCTCAATGTGTAGTTACGCCCTTATGTCAGCCAGGCGACTATTTGTTAGCGAGTACTACGCGGCTCTGTGGACGAACCCGGGTGGAATTCACTCGGAAGCAACGAACATGCACTTAGCACAATCAATCACCATACGGAAACGAAAGTTACTCCCAGCCCATCTCAGAATCTTTCCAATGTATTTTGTCCGCTAATTTTTACGGTCCCCAAAAATTTAGCGAAATTGAAAGTAATTGATGAGTATAATTTTTCTTCGCCGCTATAGCTGTAGCTTTCTCCGACGATAGTTTTCGTGTTTGACGGTTCTGTTTCACGAGCATACGTTAAGAGAGACCATTATCTCCAGCGAAATTGACTAGGGTCTAAAACGTCGTATTGGGAGAAACGTGAGGATCCCGAAGCTACATTTTTTCTTCCGTCATAAAAAATGTAAGCTCATCGTCTCGGTATATTGACGTTACGTGTCGGTAAACGGTAAAAATGTCAACCAGATTACTCATTAATAAGTTCCTCCTGCCAATTTGGAATTTAGGCACTCTTATCTGCTGCAAGAATCCTTCCATTCCGTAAAGTCCCACATAAAATATCTCCTCTTGGTAGAATAATATATCGAATACGACGAAAATGCTGACTAATAATTTGTTAAAAATACTTCGTATTTTATAGTTCCAACTTTTTTGAACATTCCCAAATTGTTAATAACGGCAGA